GCGGACCGATTGAAGTGAAGACAAATCAAGTTTTAATAGTTTTATGTCTGCCTTTGGATTCAGTGCCACAATGTCTTTGACAGCCGTCTCTCCTTTGATGAGATCCCGACACCCGATGTATACCTGATATTCAAATGTGGAGTTAGAACTCATTTCGGGGACTTTTGTATAGCATAGAAATATAGTCATGTAGTGAAAAGCTTTAAATTAACAGCTTACGATTACACATTGAACATGAATTAATGTATTCGTATGAATGAGTAAGGTGAGTTTTTAAAATGTGTAATCGTAAGCTGTTAATTTAAAGCTTTTCACTACATGACTATATTTCTATGTTATACAAAAGTCCCCGAAATGAGTTCTAACTCCACAAATATTAATTTTATAAACTTTATCAAAAAACTTATTTTACACAAAAAATTGCTAAATTGTAAACTAGACAAACCTTTGCTCCCCTGAGTGTCAGTTGGTATGCCGTTTCCTTTCCGATGCCAGTGTTAGCACCGGTCACCACAACTACCTTTCCATTCAGTTTTCGACTACTTTTAACAACACGTCTCCAACCGAAGGCATTTGTGCCGAACTCATAGCAAACAGCGCCTAATAAGCGCCAAACGTGTATCAGTTTGTATTTGCCCATGGTCAATGGTCAATTTTAAGTAATTAACGCACCTTATTGCAATATATTTTTACAAATAGAAATTAACTAAGAAATTTTTTATATTAACTTATATACTATTCCTTTATCACTGATATCCATATGGGTTGTCATAACAAATGCCGTCCCTTTTTATAGATGAATTTGAAGGTCATTTGTGTACAATTGCACTAATGCACCTGTATGGGAAGTCTAGGTTGAATATTGGGTGCAAACACACTATTGCATAGTGATATACTAACAAGTAAGTTACATAAATATTATATGAAAATTTCACTTTTATTTTGAACAATTACAATGTACATTACAATTTTTACTAGTATCGTATTAGAAAGCAGAAATATTTTATTTAATTTATGTTTTGTCATAACACTGTACGGAATATTATACTGGGTGTAAAATCTTAATGTTATAAAAAGGTTTTTATGCTGATTGCAAAATAATTTATTGGTACAATAATAATTGTTAAGTGTAATAAAAAATTTAATAAATTGTAATAAATTTCATTTAAATATAATAACTTTATTTAGAAGTTATGTCATGCAAAACATATTAGTCTACTTGTTTACTTGATTTATAATAAGTGTAATCATAATTTGAACTATATTTTAAAAATAATATTATGCTAAAATACATTCTTAACATAAATTCTAATTATCAAGATAAAATTTGATTTGAATGACTAAATCCTGAGGTGATCCTCTAGTTTTACTAAATCGCAACTCAGATCCCATAGCTTACGGGCCATCAAGTCATCCCTGGCCTCAGTAACCATACGATCCACACGACGACAGTTACTATTAATGATAATAATTGCATAAAAATTACAAAAAATCACTGAAACGACTCACTCGTAGTAAAAGCCGGACTCATTGTCCAGACTGTCGTCCAGTGCACAGTAGAGTGTAGTCTGGGATCCCATAAATGGAGTCAAGAAAAAATGTCTTTCCATAAATCCAACGTCCGTTTTATCACCTGATTTATTGTGCCTGATAAGATCTGTATGAATGACACCGGGATGTAGACTATATGTGTTAATATTGGTTTTGTTCAGTCTTTTGGCTAATTCTCGGCTGAATAAGACATTTGCGAGTTTGCTGTTTGAATAGGCCTTCAGTGCTTCATAGGCGCCGTTCCTGAGGTGTATGTTCTCGATATTGATTTCACCCAAACAGTGGAGAATCGACGATACGGTCACCACTCGAGCCGACGATGACTTTTTCAGGAGTGGTAACAAATGCAGTGTTAATAAGAAATGACCTGAAAATGAATACTTTTGAGTTATACCTATTACTCACAATTTAAAATAAATACCCAAATGATTGGTCCCGAACTGCATCTCAAAGCCGTCCTCAGTCTGCCATTCAGGACACGCCATAACCCCCGCGTTATTGATAAGGATATCCACTTTGGACTCCAATTGAGACAACTCTTTGGCGAAATGGCGGACCGATTGAAGTGAAGACAAATCAAGTTT